ACTGGTTCCTATTTATGACCGTTGCCATATCTTGGGATCATTTTCATTTATTTTTTTGCAACCTTCCCTCAAATGGGAAAACCAGATTCACTTAACAACCAGGTTTGCTGACTCATCAGCTGCAGCGATTCGCTGGACAACGGCGGCGAGAAAGTTGGTTCAAATGGAGCGAAATTCATCTCACAAATTTCTCCCGTGACGAACGGAGGTGTTGGGCTCCATCGCGGTCGCAAGTCGAGGACCGGCACAGTGTTGAGGGCACGAAGGTGGGTGGACTTCCAATTTCCAGAACTGAAACCCAGTTTCAATTCAAAACTCAAAGCTGGCTGCTGGGGAATGAATTCTGGGAATTGTTAAGTCTGCCCATCTTCAAGCGATCACATCGGGTTTGAAAAACGCTGGCCCAGCACTTGAAAAATCCCAGGAGAAAGTGGCGCCGGGTAACTGGAGAAGAGCAAATAAAATAGAATAGCAGAGTTGGAGGGGGCCTTGGAGGTCTTCTAGTCCAACCCCATTTAGGCATGAAACCTTACACCACCACTTCAGACAAATGGTTCTCCAACCTCTTTTTAAAAACTTCCAGTGTCGGAGCATTCATAACTTCGTACTACTGGTTGTTCTGTCAGAAAATTTCTTAGTTCTAAGTTGCTTCTCTCCTTGATTAGTTTCCATCCATTGTTTCTTGTCCTGCCTTCAGGTGCTTTGGAGAATAGCTTGACTCCCTCTTCTTTGGGGCAGCCCCTGAGATACTGGAAGACCGCTATCACGTCTCCCCAGGTTCTTCTTTTCATTAAAACTAGACATACCCAGTTCCTGCAACCGTTCTTCATACGTTTTAGTCTCCAGTCCCCTCATCATATGAAAAAGTAAAATGTTGAGTTTTGACGTTAATGCCTTATTTTACTGCAACAGAGGGAGTCGGAAGTCAAAGCCTTCCCTCACCCTTCCAATTTCTCTCTTCTCCTTTCCCTCCCTTCTGTGTCCTACTATTTGCTTTTGTATTTTTTTGTATTTTATACTATAAACAAATTTTTAAAAACACCACAAATTACTGGAAGACTGCTATCGTGTCTCCCTAGTCCTTCTTTTCATTAAACTAGACATGCCCAATTCCTGCAACCGTTCATCGTATGTTTTAGCCTCCAGTCCCCTAATCATCATCGTTGCTCTTCTCTGCACTCTTTCTAGAGTCTCAACATCTTTTTTTACAACCTGGTGACCAAAACTGAATTCAAATATTCCATGTGTGGCCTTTCCAAGGCTTTATAAAGCAGTATCAACACTTCAGGTGATCTTGATCCTCTGTTGATGCAGCCTAGAACTGTGTTGGCTTTTTTGGCAGCTGCCACATACGGCTGGCTCCTATTTAAATGGTTGTCCACTAGGACTCCAAGATTCCTCTCTGAGTTACTACTATGGAGCAAAGTACCACTTATACTATATTGTCCTTATTTTCCAAAAAAAGGATGAAAGGGCGGAAAAAAACCCAGAGAACTAGCTGACAAAGATCCTCAAGGAAATTCCAGAGCAGAAATCCTCATCATGACCCCCCAAGCCAGCCCAAATTTCTAAGAATTACTCTCTCTCTCTCTCTCTCTCTCTCTCTCTCTCTCTCTCTCTCTCTC